TTTTATATTTGTGTCTAATTCATGCAATAATATGATAAATGAAATGTGTTGTGCAGCTACAATTTTCTGGAAAAGTTTGGTCTTTTAGGAAAATTTTTTCAGATCTCCATTAAGTCTTTTTTTCAATTTCCAAAAAGACTGAAAGGGAGAGAGAGAAAGGAAGAAGAAAGGAAAGAAGGAAGGAAGGAAGGAAGGAAGGAAGGAAGGAAGGAAGGAAGGAAGGAAGGAAGGAAGGAAGGAAGGAAGAAAGAAAGAAAGGAAGGAAGGAAGAAAGAAAGGAAGGAAGGAAGGAAAGAATTAGAGGGTCAGTCCAACTCAACCAAGGTGATAATGAACTTCTTAAAATTAGTTCTGGAATCTAGAAGATAATGCCTTCAAATATTATAGGCCTTCCACTTGCCTTCTGTGGAGAATAAACTGACCGTCAGCCAAGATTGAGTAGGACAATCATCTAACTGTGCAGAGCTAGGTAGGGGATCAGTTTTCATTTTTACCCTCCTGTTTTCATTTTCACCTTCTGAAGTACCTGCTCCCTTCAATTCAGAGCCTTTTGATGGTGCAATATTTTCGCTACTGTGGACTAAGATTTGAGCTTTTGCAAGTCTGCTCAATTTCCACTAATCATTTTCTTTTCAACTTTCAATAAGAGCGCCTCCCCTCTCTACCTCTTTTTGTCTTCCTTGTGGGTGAAGAATGAAAAAGAGCTAAGATTTTATTTTCTATTTTGGAGAGTAGTTTACAATTGTGAGTATGAGAGTTTATTCTTTTTAAAAAATATATATTTTATTGATTTTTTACAGAGAGAAAGAGAGAGGGACAGAGAGTTAGAAACATCGATGAGAGAGAATCATCGATCAGCTGCCTCTTGCACACCTCCTACTGAGGATGTGCCCGCAACCAAGGTACATGCCCTTGACTGGAATCAAACCTGGAACCTTTCAGTCCACAGTCCGACGCTCTATCCATTGAGCCAAACCGGTTTCGGCAAGAGTTTATTCTTGTATTGTTACTTATAATTGAGTATATTATTTTCCATACGAATAACCATAGCCTACTTTTGTCCCACCCTGTATATAAAAACATAATAATGAACTGGAAGGAAACCCACTGAACTCAAAAAGTAGTTTTTCTGTCAAGAAAGGAGAAGGGGGGACAGGGCCAGGGCCAGGGAATGGGACAGGGTCAAAGAAGACTTGAGCTAAATCTGTTACACTTTATTTCTTTTTGAAAAAATAGGGTGGAGCCCTGACCAGTGTAGCTCAGTTGGTTGAGCATCTTCCTATGCACTAAGAGGTCACCACCAGTTCCAGTCAGGGCACATGCCCTGGTTGCAAGCTCAATCGCCTGTAGGGGGCATGCAGGAGGCTAACCAATGTTTCTCTCTCCCTCTCTTTCTCTCAAATCAATAAAAACATATTTTTAATTTTTATTTTTATTTACACCAAGCAACTTACATGTTACTCTTCCAAAAACATATTTTTTTTAAAAATAGGGTAGAAGCCAATATGATAAAATCATTTTAAAACTGATTTTACAGGAGACACATTGATGTGAGAGAAAAACATGCATTAGTTGCTACCCTCTCATAGGTGCCCCATCATGAGGTATCAAACCCACAACCTGGGTATGGTGCCCTTGGTGGGAATTGAACTCTCCACCTTCTGGTGTATGGAATGATGCTCCAACAAACTGAGCGACACCAGCCAGGACTGAGGAAAATAAGTATATGAGTTGTTACTTCTGAATAGTGGGAATATGAATGTTTATTAAGTTGTTCTTTGTGTTTTTTTTTAAATATCTTTTAACTTCTTAGATTAAAAAGCACTCTCCCCCCTTCTCCCCCCCAAAAAATAAATAAAGCTCAGGCAAAGGCAGGGATGAGGCAGTGGAGAGACTGCTAAAAGAAGTTGGGATCAGCAGAGGCAGGCCTCACAATCTAGGAAGATACACACTGAATGTGAGTTTGACTTGTACTCAGCATGAGCGGAGAGAGCCTGCCAGAGCAGTGGACACAGGGAGACCTTTTCTCAGGGCAGCAGCTGGGCCACAGGGAGGCCCACAAACCAGCTCCTCTTGGATCCGGAGGTGTTTCTTCCAGGGAGGGTCCTCATTCAGGAGCTATGGTAGGAAAGTGGTCTCTGAGGCTCAGTCATAAGGTCCGGTGCTCCTATAAAAAATGCTGCAATGTTTTCTTGGTTTGGGGAGTGTCTGTAGTACCAGACCTCCAGCTGCTGCCTAACCTCTGCATTCACAAAAGGTGAGCTCACAGTGCCCTCTAGTGGTTGAGTCTCTGTCCACCTCCACAGCTAGACATAGAAAGGTAACATTTCTCAGCTTTTAAAAGCCTAGAATGAACTCCTTCTACATCCCATTCCCTATTCTTTACATAAGTATTCCCACTAAAGAAAAAGGGGGATGGATAGAATGTCCATGGAGATGAAAAGAAGAAGTTTGTTAACATAGTCTCTTATTTCAGAAAAAAATCATTAAACAACACTGATAAATTTTGTTTTCAATACTGTTGCTGATAAAGGGTAAAAACTAGCTATCTTACAGTTGAAAGAAGCAGTGATGACCAGAATGATCAAGGTAAACAAGCAATACAGTGCAGCCAGAGGGAACACAACATAGGGAACTTGGATAGAAGGACAAACCAACAGTCATAACTGAGAGTGAAGAATTTGGATTCCATCAGGAAGAGCCTGGGCCTAGGGTCTGTCACTTAGTAGCTGTGAGGTTGTGGGCAGGCCATTTTGATTCACCGAGCTTCTTTCTGGAAAAAAAAAAAAAAACTAGCTTCTCTGATACCTCTGAATTAAACAAGAGGCAGCACACAGTGCCCAAGAGCCAACGGTGGATCCAGAGTTGGAATGGAATCCACGCTTTACTATTTACTGTGTGGCCTTGGGCAAACTATTGGAACTCTGTGTCTCAGAACCTTGGGGGTGTTAACAGTACTCCAAAGGTCTGTTGTGAGATTCCAGTCAATGAATGTGAAGTACTTGGGAGACAGCCTAGCAAGCCTTCAATAAGAAAGAGTTAGTTAGCCAAAACCGGTTCCGCTCAGTGGATAGAGCATAGGACTGAAAGGTCCCAGGTTCGATTCTGGTCAAGGGCATGTACCTTGGTTGTGGGCACATCCCTAGTAGGGGGTGTGCAGGAGGCAGCTGATCAATGTCTCTCTCTCTCACCAATGGTTCTAACTCTCTATCCTTCTCCCTTCTTCTCTGTAAAAAATCAATAAAATATATATTTTTAAAAAGTTATTATTGTTTTAATAAAATACATGTAAAATACTTAGAATACAATCAGATCCATAGTTAGTTCCCCTTCCTCTGGCAAAATGCTTATTCCCCATCACGTGAGCTTAGTCTCCAAAGGAGTCTGGTCATTATTCCACACCTTCCCAGTGTGTGGGGGCCACCCCCTTTCTTCCACAGATCTCCTTTCCATATGATCTTGAGACCTTGCAAACCAACCAGTTCCCAGTCTTCTACTGAAATTTTTTGGGGGGAGGAAGTGGGGCTAACTCGCTTTCCTCAAGGAAATATGAATTCTTTTGACTGATGCACAGCTTCCTCTTGGCCCCTCTGACATCTCTTGAAAGCAAGAAGCCCCCAGAGATGGGGCCCAGATTGCCACAAGGAGCCATGCTCATCTACATTAGCAATCCAATTGTCATTTCAGGGGCAAGATGTGCTCTTAACCAAGTAAGACCAGTATGAGATCAGTATGCAGTGAGTCTGTGGCCACATAGAACCGGCAAGTCAGGAAGGACCGCCAGTACATCTGTCAGTCATGACGTCATTCGCACCAAGCTCTCGGCCTTTCAGAATAGCCTGAGGAAGGAGTGGAACACACATGAGATCAGGACCAGGTAAACAGTTCGGTGGAGACCGGGGCCTATGAGAAAGAAGCACACCAAGAGTTTATACAAAAAAACCTTTATTGACTTTTTATCTTTCTTCTCCCCACCCCTATGCCCGATCTGGGACCCAGCCAGCTCCTACAACTTCCTGCTGCCTGGTTCTTGAAACTGGGGCCTTGGAGACATGGAGGAGGCCTATAAGAGGTCGGAAACCTTTTCACCCACCAGTTGTGGAAGTGGAAGGAAGCTTTCCCGCCTGCCTGAAGCTCCAGCAGCTTCCCAGGGTAGCCCCTCATTTCAGAGGACCCATCCCTCCCTGGGTGGATACAGGAAAAGACATGTGTCTCGGAGACCCATGGACTCCCCACCACCCACTGCTTCTATCGCGGAACCAGCCCCTTTCTTGGAGATGGAGTCCAGCAACACGAGTGGGACTTGGGGGGTGAGGGGTGGGGCTGCAGTTCTGGGTCCTAATCAACTAACAGGGAACAGGAAGAGGTCGGCCTGGTTGAACTGAAATGGGAAAGGGAAGGAGGTGCAGGAGAACATGGGGGCGGGTTTACTGGCCTGGGGCGGGGCCAGCTGGACATCTGTAAAGAGGGGTTATAGCCCTTATAGGAGTAGGTACTCCTAGCCCCACAACCACCTGGAAGAGGGAGAAGGGAGCCCTGTTCCCACTTAGACAAAGGGCTAAGGATACAATAAACAGTTTTGGTCTGAGGGTGCCCTTTCCTGGTACCCATTATCAGCCCTCATCTGCCAGACAAAGGTTTGGCTGTCTCCCTGGAAACCACAGCCCGTTCCAGGTACTGCCGCTCCTACCCTCGCCATTGCGACCTCACCAGAATCTCTGCACACTCCTGTGACTGGGGCTGCCGGCCAGACTCCACCTGGTGGGGCAGAAACAAGGGCCCTGAAGCTCAGGGCTGTTCTCTGGGTGAGGCCCATCCGTGGATTTTTCAAGGCTTTTTCCCGCATTCCTGTCATAAGCCAGACACGGAACCTTCCTGGGAGGGCGCTGGGCCCTTGGGCTCTCCCGAAGACGAGATCCTGGGGAAGCACCTCAGGGAGGAAGAAGAGCCTCGGAACACCGTCTGTTCCTGTTTGCCGTCCCAGGTCCTGCTCTCCTGGCTCAGAAGTCTGAGTCTGCATCCATGAGCTCGGCCTCCATCAGGTTGGTACGGGAGTGGATGGGCCCTAGTCCCTGCCGGCGGCCCTGCGCCCAGGCCGTGGGGGCCGAGGGGCCGGGCAGAAACGGGTCCTGCAGAGGACCGGGCTCTGGGCAGAAGGGGTTGGAGACCAGGGTCCAGGCTCTCTGCCGGCAGGATTCTCCAGCTCCCCAGGCGCCTGCGGCCACCAGGCACTTCTGCCGGGGCAGCTGGGGCAGGCGAGGAACGGAGCTGGAGGCGGGCGCAGGGGTGGGGTGGTGAGGCTCAGAGGGTGGCACCAGCGGACACACCTCCTTCTTCCTCTTCCTCCGCTTCTTCTTCCGGCCCAGGCGCTTCTCCAGCTCTGGGGAGATTTCTGCCTCCACCAGCCACAGATTGGCTTTTTCCTCTGGGGGCACTGATGACGGGAGAGAGACCATGAGTCCGGGACCCTGGCTCTGTCCGCATCACCCTTCTCTCATCGGATCCCCCACGCTGAGGTCTGGGATCCACAATTCTAGACCTCTAGGGCCTCAGCCCCACCCGTTAGTTCTTCCACAGTCTTCCCTTCCTCCTCACCGCTGGCAGCCCCTGATACTACAGCCCCCGTAACCCCCAGCCTCTACAGCCCCCGCCTTCCTACGGAGACCTGAATCCTATACCTGGAGTGGCCACAGGGGTGACAGACACGTCCTGGGGCAGTATGGCTCCTCTCCGAGCCACCATCTTGGTGACATGCTGGGCCCAGGCAGAGGACACATCGGCGGAGGGCTCGTTGAGGTCAAAGGCCAAGCCTGCTGCGGGGACGGAAGGGAAGGATAAGGAATCATAGTTGACTGTCCCTTGCAGTCAACCACATCTCCATCGCTCAGCTCCATTCACCTCCCCCCAGCGATGGCTCCCACTCCACCTCGCACAGAAAACCCACCGTGGTAATCACAGCGGTCTCCACCCCATCCCCAATTACAGAGCAGTTGGCATCTGGAGCACCCGGAGCAAAAGCGGGGTCTTACTAAAGGCCGGAAATCCAGCCCCTGAAAGCCTGACTTACTCCAGCCCAGGGAGAGCAGCTGGAGAAGACAGGAGAAGGGGAAGGGAGACGAGTCCTCTGGGAACCAAAACCAAGTATTGAACGCAGGACAGAAACAGAGAGGCAGAGTTGCTGGGGATGGGCCGGGTACTGGAAACAAGGAGTCTGCGGAGAGGAGGCAGCACCGTATTCCTCAGAGCCTTCCACACAGTCCCCAGGCCCACACCAGCCTGGCAGAGGATGGGGCCCGGGCATGGCAGGTGTTAAGTGGCTCCCGGGGAGGAAAGGGCCAACGCTCACCCACAGGCCCATCGTGGGAGACGGTGTGCATGCTGAAGGAGAGCTCCTGGCCGGGGTTCTGCAGCAGCTCGCGCCGCTTGGAGAAGGCCTTGGCGATCATCTTGCTCTTCTTGATGCGTTTGGGCTCATCGTCACTCTGTCCCGTCAACCTGAGAGCGGCAGGGGTGGGGAGGGAAGGTGGAGCAGCCACTTCCCATCAAATCTTGAGAAAGACAGCAAAGCCATCCCCTCGAGGGCAGGGCCTCAGGTTCTTCAAGGACTCTGAGCAGTAGAGGCCTCCTCTGCGAAGGAGGCCTAGGATGCAGGACTCATGTGTGCCCAGTTCTCAAATTACCAGGCTTTTAAAAGATGCCTGCAGTGGGCTCACACCTGGCTGGTGCTCCCAAGGACAGGAGGAGTCACCAGGGGGCAGTGGTGAGCCACAGAAAAGTCAGCTTTAGGTGCTCCCGCAGACCCTTAGAAATCACACCTGCCCACGGCTCTGCTGGGAGACACGGGGAAACCTAGGATGAGAGACTAAGACGGAGCTGGCGGCCCTCCCTACCTGCACCAGGTGCGTCTCCAGATGAGCAGCGTGGCCTTGGTCCAGACCCACGTGCTCATGGCAATGCCGGTTCCGAACATGGCAAACAGGTTGATTTTCTCCACCAAGAGGCTGGGGCGATTCTTGATCTCACAGTCAGGGATGGGCTTCTTGGTGGGCAGCCCGATGGTGACATTGGCCTGGCACCTGCGGTGAGGGGAAGTAGACGGGTGAGATTTTCTGGATCTCCTGGGTGCGTACCCAGACGATCACTAAGCCCCACAGCACTGATTCACAACCCTGGGTACTCATTAGAGTCACCCGGGAGCTTTCCATAACTACTGATGTCTGGGCCACACCCCAGACAATGAAATCAGATCTCTGGGGCAGAGACCCAGGCACAGGTATAGTTTAGAGCCTCCCAAACTGCAAGCTGGAGCCTTGAAGGAGTCTGAAGCAGTCCATGTGGACTGGCATTCATTTTAATGGGCATTTGAACTGCTGTTCCTTGTGTCAGTAGTTGCTGCATTTCTTTCCACAGCTGAGATGCCTCAATCTCTCAAATTCGTCCTCATCGTGACATAAAAAGCATAGACTAATTAGCGTTAACAGGCTGTTAACTTATCATAAAGATAACTCCTTCTGCCCTAACCAGTTTGGCTCTGTGGATAGAGCATAGGCCTGTGGACTGAAAGGTCCCAGGTTTGATTCTGGTCGAGGGCATGTACCTTGGTTGCTGGCACATACCAATAGGGGATGTGCAGGAGGCAGCTGATTGATGTTTCTCTCTCATCGATGTTTCTAACTCTCTATTCCTCTCCCTTCTTCTCTGTAAAAAATCAATAAAATATATTTTAAAAAAAGAAAAGAAAAAGAAAAAAGATAACTACTTCTGTGCAGGGCTCTCCAATACGTCATGTGAAAGAGTACGTGAGAATTGGAGACAGCAACTTCTGTGGACAACAGAGTCGGTCAGAGAAGCCAAAACACGAGATGGCTTCTTAACAGTTACAAATACACCAGCCAGACCACCATGGGGACGCAGGGTTGAGCAGGAACTTGAGGGCTGTTTGCTATGTTGGCAGGTTACGGAGCAACTGACACCTTGGGTGCCCAGAACAAGATGGGCAGACCCCTGCTGGACGGCACAGGAAGGCTGCCCCTGCAGTCCCGACTCCAGCTGCCTCCAAGTCCCCAAGCCCCAGCCCTGCACTCACAGCACGTAGTCCCGGAAGCTGCGCTCCCACTCCGCCTGGTTGAAGAAATCGTAGAAGTGGCAACTGAAGGTGATGAGCACAAAGCCAAAGGCCAGGAAGCCAAAAATGCCTGTGGAGGGCCGGGGTGGGCAGAGGATTACCAATCCCAGGTGTGGGCACAGCGGTGGGGAGGAGGGTATTCGACCCACCAGGGCCCGAAAGACAGCTGAGTCTGGGGCGAATTCATGCTAGGCTCAGTTCAAGAACAGAAGTCTCCAACATAAGGCATGAAGGGCACTTGAGGCAACTGTGGGAGGCCCAGTAGGAGGGAGTGGACATGAGGAAGCAGACTTGGCATGAACTTGAATTCTTCCACCTAAGCAGGTCCCCTCCCTTTGAGCTTCTACCGACACACACACACACACACACACACACACACCCCACACACACACACCAGCCTTGTCTTGTCCAGGGCTGCTCACTTGTGCCACTGGCTTACTACATCCTCCAAGACCCTATCCTGTAGGTCCCACAGCCCCAGGAGGGTAGTGTTGGGCTGGATAGTACCACAGGCCAAGGGCCCAGGGGCCCACTCACCTAGGCGCAGCATGGTCTCGTTGATCTTGCTGGCAGCCTTCTCGCTCAGTAGCCCAGGGTGGTTGCTCTTGATGGAGAACAGAGTCATAACTCCTGGACAGAAGGGACACCTCATATTAGTGGGGCGAGGCCACTCTCCTGGGGGGAGGGGGTGTGGCAGGGGAGACTCCCATGCGCTGGAGTCCGGGCCTATTACTTCTGTGCTGTACCAAGCTTGGGGAACGGGAGACACCGGAGAAATGGAGCACAGCTGGTGGCAGATGTGATTTGTAAGTGAAAGTCTGGTCAGAGCACCGATCGTCAGTAGAGAAGAGAAAGAAATCACCTTGTGTCTGGCCTGCCCACCCCTACGTAAGGCAGTCAGGTCAAAGCTGCTCTGCTGAAGCCCCAGCTGGTTTGGCTCAGTGGATAGAGCCTTGGCCTGCAGACTGAAGGGTCCTGGGTTCAATTCTGGTCAAGGGCACATGCCAGGGTTGTGGGCTCAACTCCCAGGAGGGGGCATGCAGGAGGCAGCCAACCATCGATTCTCTCTCATTTTCGCTGTTTCTCTCTCTTCCTCTCCCTTCCTCTCTGAAATCAATAAAAATACATTAAAAAAACAAAAACAAAAACTGTTCTGCTGGAAAAGGCATTAAAAAAAAAAAAAGGCTTGAGATCAGTACTGTCCAATAGAAATATAATATGAGCTGCAGACATAATCTCAAATCTTCCAGAAGCCACATTAAAAGAGTAAAAGGACACAGGTGGAAATGATTTCAATATATTTTACAAAAAGTATACCACTGTTCCTTATATCGCATCTAGTAATAATTAATGTCGTTCTAAAACATTCGTTTAAAATCTTGCTTGGCGTTGACTTGTATTGACATAACCTTCAAACACGTGGTATCTACAGAACGTGTGAAGTGCAATTAACAAGTTTTGCTTGAAAAAGTTTGTGTTTGGTTTGGTTTTTGTTGCAAAACTAGGGCTAAGAAGATGGCGGATGAAGAGCATATTCGGCACTGCATGCTTTACGAGTTCCAATTAGGAAGAAAAGCAAGTGAGGCTGCAAAAAACATCTGTAGTGCTCTTGGTCAAGATGCAGTTAGCACCAGAAAATGCCAGCATTGGTTTGAGAAATTTCGCGAGGGAAATTTTTCGTTAGATGACAGGAGTGGTCGAGGCCGTGTGTCCAATTTTGATCAAGAAGCTCTTCAAGCTCTTTTAGTGCAAAATCCTCAAATTACCCAACAAGAGCTTGCGACAACTTTAAATTGTTCACAAAAAACAATTTCCAATCAATTGCGTGCACTTGGCAAAGTCCAAAAGTTTGGAAAATGGGTTCCTCATGAGTTGACCGACAACAACCGTAATCAAAGAGTCACAATTTGCAGTTCGCTCCTCTCTCGTCAAAACCGTTTGCCGTTTTTAGAGCAAATTGTTACCGGAGATGAAAAATGGGTGCTGTATGTTAATTTGAAAAGGCGGCCTCAATGGTTGGACAAAAATGAGGCTCCGCAGCCTACGCCAAAACCTGACTTGCATGAGAAAAAAGTGATGTTGTATGTTTGGTGGAATTTTAAAGGAATTCTTCATTATGAACTTTTACCATCTAACCAAACCATTACAAGTGCAGTGTATAGTGCCCAATTGGAAAGGTTAGCCCAAGCTTTAAGAGAAAAAGAACCCGCGCTGATTAATCGGAAGGGCGTAATTCTTCACCACGATAACGCACGACCGCATACTGCAAGAATCACTGCTGAAAAACTGCGCCAGTTGGAATGGGAAGTTCTCCCTCAACCTGCATATTCTCCTGATATTGCCCCTTCCGATTACCATTTGTTTCGTTCTTTGCAAAACTTTCTTCTTGGAAAAAAATTTAATAATGAAGAATGCCTCAAAAATGCATTGACCGAATTTTTTGCATCAAAATCACAAGAATTTTACAACAGAGGGATTAAAATGCTTCCTGAGCGTTGGGCACAAGTAGTAGAAAACAACGGCAACTATATTGTTGATTAAATTTTGTTGTATTGTTTAAATAAATTCGATTTAAAAATGGTATTAGAAAACGACATTAATTATTACTAGACCTAATATTATCATTTCGACATGTAATTTAAATTGCAGCTTATTAATGAGTGTGCTATGCCTTTGAAATGCAGTGTGTCTTTTACACATATGACACATCTCAATTTGGACTAGTTTCAACACATGTGGCAAGTGGCTACCAAACAGGACAGCTTAGACACAAAACGTAAACCCAAGGCCCAGACACAGCCAAAAAGAGGGAAAAGAGGAGGGCTGCACAGAAGGCTGACCTTCTGCAGAGGGAGGAAATGGAAACTTACCAAAAGAAACAACAACTACAAAAAACACGCAACAAAAACGAGCTAAGAAGATAGGAAGGCTTATGGTGGAGGTGGCAGATTAAGACGGGGAAATGAGGGAACAGAGAATCTGTGCATGTTGTGAAACTGTGCCAGTGTGTGCTGTGGGCAGGAGGGAGATGAGAAACCAACTCCAAAACATTGAGAGTATATATAACTTGAGAGTGAGCTCACTAGACTGAAGGCCCCAAACTGGCTCATTTGGACTGAGTAGGTTACCCACCACACAAGCGCACCTGGCCAAGAGCTGAGGGTTGGAACCAGCCCAGGCTCCTCTCAACAGACCGTGGAAAGGGGTGCACTTTTCTGGCCAACAAGAAGGTGTTGTCCCACACCAAGTGCCCACACCAAGTGTCTGCCCAAAGGGGGCACCTTCCACTTAGCGTCAATACCCAGTTAGTCCTGGCTGAGGTCCCACTGTGAAGGCAGCAGAGCTGGCTGCGCCAAGCTCCTACTTCCACAAAGCTGGTGCTCAGCGTGCTAGCTGCCGTAGTCCAGGTCCGGTCCTCACTCACCACGGATGAGGAAGTAACCTCCCACGATGAGCACCAGGCCAATGGGGGCCAGCACGAAGCCAGCGCGGTATCGATAGTTCTTGTAGCCCACGAAACAGATGCCGCTCACGGAGTCCCCATCCACCTACAGCAGGAAGGGGTGGGAGGGGCGCATTCGGTCACTGGCCCCTCAGCCAAGCCCACCCCCCCCTGGGGACCCCAGCCCCCTACCAGGTTGTGTACCTGGGCCACAGCGAGGATAGCCACCGTGAGGACAAAAGGGAGTGACCATGTGATCAGGTGGAAGTAGGAGGTCTTGCCAGAGAGAGGCTGGTAGGTGGTGCCCAGGGCTTTGAAGGAGGTGTGCCAGGCATAGGTAAGGACCACAAACCAGACGACGCCAGCCATCAGGGCGTAGTACACGATGACAAAGATGATGACGCAGGACAGGGTCTCGTTGGAGCTACGCACACATGTGGGGTGTCACTTAGGGAGGTCATTCTGCACTCCCTCTCTCCACTCTGTCTCCAGACCCTTGCCTCTAAGGTCTGGAGGTCCCCTAGGAGTCAGGGATTGGACCCAGGATCCAGTCAGATTTAAAGAGGGCACGCAGGATGCCCCTTTGAACAGATGCAAACATCAAGGTCCTAACACCGAAGCCGAGGTCCTAATGCTGGAGACCTTGGATGCAACAAGGCAGAGCTGAATGTCACCCCGAAATCTCAGCTTCGAGCCCAACCTGCTCCCTTGGTGGCAAACACACATTTCAGCCTTCCTCCCCTCGCCTCCGGGTCCCCAAGTCACCTACGTGGGCTCCCCGAGCCTCATGGTGCCATCTGCCCGGCAGACAATCTCCCGGCGGGCACCGTCCATGAACTGGGCCAGCCAGCCGATGCTGCCCACAAAGAAACACGCATTCACGTAGAAGAGAATGACTGCAGGGTAGCGATTCGAATTCCGCCAGTCAGCCACGAACGTGGCCTAGAAGAGAGGGGGTGGGTTACTCTGCTGCTGCAGACACCCTTAGGACCCTTCTTAGGACCCCGCCCTGGGGACCCCCGCCAGGCCGTCCTCTCCCCCCCTCCCTCTTCACCCAGAGCCCAGCAGCTCTCCCGACAGTCCCACTCCCTTCCCACTTTGCCAGCTGAGTGCTCAGGACACCCGCTTCCCCTGACCCCGCCACGCCCAGGCCCGACCCCGGCTGACCAGGGTGAAGAAGGTGCAGAGGCCCGTGACGGCGCCGAAGGCGGCGATGTAGCTGTGCATGTCCTGGTGCTCCGCCTCCGTGAAGAGCGGGTTCTGGCACTGGATCCCGCAGCCCTCCACGTCCTCGTACCAGCTCTTGGGGTTGTCGGTCCGAACCAAGGGAGCCTCACACTGGCCCGAGCTGTTGAACTTGATGTTCTGCACCTCGTTCTGGCACAAGGCAAGGAAGAGAAGACAGTGCAAAAGAGGGCAGGAGGCTCAGCGGCAGCCTCTGGTTTCCTCAGGGCACAGGGGCAGCACGACAGAGGGGCTGAGGGCACAGACGCTGGAGGCAAGCCACGGCAAATGACTTCTTTTCTGTTACCTCCGTTTCCCCATCTATAAGATAGCAGGAAACAATGGACTCGTTTGGAATATGGTGTTCAGGGGGAGCTCTATGCCCCCCAACCCTGGACCACCATTAAGATGAATAAGTGGGTCCCAGAGCAAATTAAGCCTGAAACATCACTGGAGTCAAAAATGACAAAACTGAAGCCGTCCTACTTCAGGCACATCATGAGAAGGCAGGGGTCTTTGGAAAAGACATCAATGCCGGGGAAAATAGAAGGCAGAGGGAAAGGGAAGACCACGCATGGGGTAGACGGACTCCATGAAAGAAGCCATAGGCATGAGTCTACAGGAGCAGAGAAAAAGACACTGAGTCATCACTCATTCCTAGGGTCGCCATAAGTCAGGGCTGACTCAGCAGCATCTAACACACACACACCTCTTCATTGTGGGATTTAAGGGGTAAATGAATGAATAAGTGTAAAATGCTATAAAAGTATTTGGCAGGTAGGAAATAATAACCAGTAGTGTTATTACCATCATTATTATCACTAGAGGCCTGGTGCATGGATTTGTGCACCCACGGGGTCCCTCAGCCTAGCCCGTGGAGATTGGCCAAAACAAGCTCTCCGACATCCCCCAAGGGGTCCCAGGTTGCGAGAGGGTGCAGGTCAAGCTGAGGGACTCCACCGGTGCACAACTGGAGGGACTGTGGGAGAACTCCAGGGTGTGTCTGGCCCATCTCGCCCAGTCCCAATGGGCTGGACCCCAGCAGCAAGCTAACCTACCAGTCAGAGTGTCTGCCCCCTGGTGGTCAGTGACTGATGGAACGGTCGAACGAATGATTGGACTTAGCGTATTAGGCTTTTATTATATAGGAGGATTATAATTATTATCACTTCTGAGCTCTCCTTCACCACCCAGAACTGAAGCACATCCCGTCTTGGGGTTTCCAGCTGTTTTACATGTGTCTTGATTCCACGTGACTCCTGTTAAACCCTAACACCTGACAGAGTTGGTGCTCAAAAAGGTTTCTCTCTCTCTCTCCCCATCTCCATCTCCACCCCTTCCACTATCTTTAAAAATCACTGTAAAAAATGTCCTCACTCCTTGGGTGAGGATAAAATAATAATTAATTATTATTATAAATAATAGTTTTAGGCCGAAACTGGTTTGGCTCAGTGGATAGAGCATCGGCTTGCGGACTGAAAGATCCTGGGTTCGATTCCGGTCAAGGGCATGTACTTGGTTGCGGGCACATCCCCAGTAGGGGGTGCGCAAGAGGCAGCTGATCTCTCATCAATGTTACTATCCCTCTCTCTTCCTCTCTGTAAAAAAAATCAATAAAATATATTAAAAATAATAATAATAATGATTTTATACTATTATTAGAAAATAATAATTATTATAAATAGTTATAAAATAATAATTAATCAATAAGTAAATAAAGGATAGTCCCTGGTAGATGGGCCCAGCCAACAAACTTCAGTTTGGGGTGTTGGCCTATTGACACCAAGGCTGCAGGCTCGGGTTACCCAGGGAGAAGGCTCTGGGCTTCCCTGTTCCCCCTCCTGCCCTGTGCCTGGTGCTGACCGGCCTGAGAGCAGGGGCCTCCCCACAGACACTCACCGGGCAGCCCTCGGGGAAGTGGTCGGGGGTACAGCGCAGGAAGTCGGGCCAGCCTCGCTCTCTCTCCACGATGGCACAGGGGCCTCGCGTGGCCTGGCAGAGGGTGCGGCTGGGCAGCTCCACCCGGTCGTTCTCACACTTGGGCATGTACACGGCACACAGCAGGGGCTGGATCACTGCCCAGCAGCGGGGGGCGTTCCGGAGGCCTGCAGGGTGAAGACAGTGTGGACACATTGCAATGAGGAGCCCTCTTCCTTCGTACTCACAAACACAGCAGCACCCCCGGTTCCCCAGGCCATTATTGCTCAGAGCAGTGGAGCAAAGTGTTCCTCAACAGGGCATTTGGGCAGGACGACTCTGTGCTGCAGGACGGTCCATGCATTGCAGGACATGTAGCATCCCAAGACCCTGCCCACTAAATGCCAATAGGCTCTAGCCGGTTTGGTTTTGTGGTTAGCTCTCACCATTACAGCACTGGCCCACCGACTGAAGGGCTGAGGGCCCAATTCCAGGTCAAGGGCATGTGTCTCATTTGCAGGCTCCATCCCTGGCCCTGGAGCCCATGCGGGAGGCAACCAATCACTGTTCTCTTTCTCTGACCCCCATTTCCACTCTCTCTAAAATCCAATGGAAAAAACATCCTCAGGTGAGGATTAACAAAAAATAAAATAAATTAAATTAAATGCCAATAGAACCCCTGAGTCATCGTGACAACCAAAAACTGCTCCTACCAAGCCCCATTCCAGGGATGGTGACTGGCAGAGAGCTTGAGGACCGTTCTGGGAGGCCACTCACGCTCTCCTTCTTGATCTGGTGCTGGATTCCTGGGTACATTCACCTTGTGGGCATTAAGTTTATGGTCTGTGCGCTTCTCTATATGTACATTATAATTCAATTAAAGTTTTATAAAACAGCCTCCATTTCCAAATGCCCTGCGAGGGAGGATAACACCTCTGGCTGAGAACCCTGAGTTGATTCACATTTTACCTTTTTGGGGGCATTTAAAACCCTTGCTTCAGGACCTCTTCCAGCGGGAAGGAGAGTGGTGGGATGCCACCCCTCCCTGCTCACACTCCCCCCCTCAGGCCCATGCTCCAGAACCCGAAACGGTTTCCCTTGCAGAGATCCCAGGACCCCGGTCTTCTTACCGAGCTGAGGTGAGATAGAGAACAGGTAGGAGCTAAGAAGTGGTAGTCAGGGGAGCCAGGTACTCCAAGGCCAGAAGAGGAAACAGGAAATCAGGTGGAGAGAAACAGAGGAGGCTGTGTCCAGTGCAGAGAAAGGTAAGGAGGTGCCAGCAAGACAGAAACAGCTGCCCCCGTGGTTGGGCTCACTCAGCATCCTGCCTACTTCGCCCCTCCTGAGTCCTCCTTGCTTCAGGAACACCTATTTCCCAAACAAGAAGTTGAATTAGGAGAAACTTTTGAGGACATGAGATCCAACATGGGTGCTGGCCACACTGCTGGGCTGGGGGAAAATGGGGGTAGTTAGGTAACTGCTCTTCTTTGGGGGGAAGTAATATAGTAGAGAGGTAGGGAGCATGGACACTGCAACTAGCCTGTCTGGGCCCACATCCTGACTCTACTATGTCCTTGCTGTGTGATCCTGGGCAAATTACTTTATCTCAAGCCTCAGTTTCCTGGTCTGTGAAACGGGAGCAATACATTTACCGTGTGGAACTGTTGTGAAGAATGAGATAGCAAGTTAACTGCTTAGCATGGTACTTGTTTTATAATAAGCACTCAGAAAATGTCAGCTATTATTATTACCTCTCCGGGCCTTTGACAACTCAGTTGCTCTCACTGTGACACAGCCTCTCCCAGGGCACAGAGCAAGTTCCTGTCACGTAAGAAGCAATGGTTTACCCCGGCCAGGTAGCTTAGTTGGTTAGAACATCGTCCAGGTACACTAAGGTTGTGGGTTTGATCCCTGATCAGGGCACACATAAGGGTCAACCAGTGAATGCACAAATAAGTAGAACAATGTGTATGTGTGTTGTTTCTCTCTCCCTCTCAAATCAATTAGAAAGAAAAAAAAGCCAATGATCTTGGGCAATGGTACCCAGACCTGACTCAACTTCGAATCATTTGGGGAACTCTTATCACTCTGGCTGGAGAACCCCAGAAATTGCCTCAATGGGTATGGGTGGAGCACACAGCAGGGAGTGCCAGGAGGAGAAGGACTATTAGGGGTAATGGGATTGTTCTCTGTCTTGAATGTAGTGGCTGATTATACACTCTGTGTGCTTGTCTAAACTCATAAAACTGCACAACAAAGAAAAGGTGAATTTTACTGGATGTTTATTAAAAATGGGGCGGGGGCTCACTAGAGTAAAATGTATTCTAGAGAAGCATCAGGCAATTAATAAAATACTGGGTTGTTTTTTTTTCCCCTCAGGAATTTGTGGTTCTTTTAAAAATATGTAAATTTGTTGTTCTCAGTTTTTCTCATTTTAAACATTGTTTTATTCTTTAAAAATAAACTTCCAAGGAAAAGATAGATTATTACATAAATCTTAAATGACAATGGAAGAGCCATCTAGCAAAAAAATAAGTTGGACCCTTATCTTGTGTCTTACATAAAAATAAGTTCCTGCCCGGTTGCGTGGCTAAGTGGTTGAGCTTCAACCTATGAACCAGGAGATCATGGTTCAGTCTTGGTCAGGGCACATGACTGGGTTATGGGACCCACCTCCAGTGGGGCGTGCAGGAGGCAACCAATCAATGATTCTTACTCATTATTAATGTTTCTATCCCTCTTCCTTCCTCTTTGAAATAAATAAAAAATATTTTAAAAAATAAGTGACTGATGAATCAAAATAATTACATTATTTTAAAAAATATTTAATTTTTACTTATTGATTTTGAAAGAGAGGAAAGGAGAGAAACATTAATTTGTTGTTCCACTTATTTATGCATTCATTAGTTCATTCTTATATATGCTGAGAATGGAATCCACTACTTTGATGTATTAGGATAATGCTCTAATCAACTGAGCTACCTGGCCAGGGCTAATAATTACATTATTTAAAAAAATTAAAGTAAAAAAAATTAAAGTAATAAAAGAAAAGGTGAGAAATGCTTTTTGAAACCTTGGAGTGGAGAGGATTTTTTGATGTGTGACACAAAACCCAGAAGCTATGAAACAAAAAATTTTTTTAAAAAATCCTAAAATAAGCAACATTCTGAGAAAATATTTCATACATATTACAGGTAAAGAGCTAATTTTCCTATATGCACAAAGCTCTTCCAAATCAATAAGGAATTCATAAGCCTCTAGGAAAGGGGCAAAAGGCAAACAGAACAGATGAGAGAAAATACAAAAATGGCCTTTAAATGCATAAAGAGATGCTCTAAATGTGAAATAAAGCTGTAATGATATATAATTTTTTAACGTAAGGGTGAGAAAGACAAAAATATTTGAAAATGCTATAGTGGCAAGAGTGTGGGAGAAAGTGGCACTTTAATATATTTTTAGTAGGAATACTTATAGAGACTATCTGGCATTATCTATCAAAACATTATACTTGCAATTCCACTATACATGTTCACACTGACAATTTATAGGAGTATTCATTGCAGCATTGCTTGTAATAGCAAATGAGTAGAAACAACCTGAATGTATATCCATCATTAGGAGCAGCTAAAAAAATATCATACATCAGTATAATCGGACATTAATCAGGGTTAAACTGTTGTATTTGCATTGAAATGGAACTATCTCCAATAGATCTTGTTAAGTGGATGTAGTTGAGAGGAGAACAGCCCGAAGAGCTGTTTGTGGGAAGAAATAAACAAAGGGTTCGCCTCCATTTGTACATATGCTGGCAACGTCTAGAAGGACACACAAAAGCCAGTGTTGATGGTTGCCTCTGAGAAGGGAAAATGGGTAGCTGAGAACACAAGTGGAGAGATTTAACTTTTGTTGCTTTTGAATTTTGTACTATGTGCATATACTACATATTTTTTTAAAAGTAATTAAGTTTAAAAAAATATGCAAATTACTGAGGTGAGAAAAGCTTCCCAAAGAAGAGCAGGGAATGAGATTGATAACAGGAAGCAAGGGGACATCAACTTTATCTGTATTAATTTTTATTTTAACAACATATGAAACAAACAAAAAAATAGAGACACATTTTTAATATTCATAGAAATTAAAAATAATACTGCCACAATTTAAGCTTTGAAAAAGGCTTTTTGTTTGTGTGATTCTGATGAGTAGTCAAGTTGAAAACCATTGGTCTAAGTTTGGGTTAACATTAGAAAATTTAATCAATGAATCTATATTCATAGATTAAAGAAGAAAAAAACATAATCATCTCAATAGATGCAGAAGTAGTTGATAAAATCAATATCCATCCTATCTAATAGGACGGAATATGCTAATTGACCCTCACACCATTGCAAAGATGGCAGCACCCACAGCCAATAAGGAGGGAATATGCTAATTGCTGTCCCACCCTCAAAGATGGCAGCACCCACAACCACAAGATGGCGGCTCCCAGTCCCCTCAGCCCCGCCGGTGCGCCTGCCTCTGGAGTTCCCCAGTCCTCTCAGCCCTCCAGCCTCCCAGGGTAACCAGGGCCACCTGAAGCTAGCACTACTGGCAGTGGCATCAGCAGAGGTGTAATGGGCGTCTCCTTCCCCTGATTGCCAGGGCACCTCCCCTGAGGGCTTCTGGCCTGCTCCTAGTCTATCACAAAAAGATAACTGGCAGATTAGGAAATAGAAGACAACTTCCTTAACCTGATAAAATGTAACTACAAGAAAAATACACCAAACACCACATTTAGGAGTGAAAGGTAGAAAAAGCTTTCTGTTTAGAACACAGAAAAAATCAAGGATAAAGGATGCTGCTACTACTACCACTTCTATTTAACAATGTATTGAAGGTGTTAAGCAATGCAGCAAGGCAATAAACATTAACAAATATATGGTTTATAAAAGGAAGAAACAGCCCTGACCAGCTTGCTTAGTGGTTAGAGCTTGGGCCAATAGACGGAAGGGTTGAGGGTTTGATTCCTCAGTTGTAGGTTCCCTGCTCCTGTGGGGGTGCATGCAGGAGGCAACCAATCAATGTGTCTCTCTCACATCTGTTTCTCTCTCCCCCCTCCTCCCTCCCTTCCATTTCTCTCTCCTCTCTCCTTTCCACTCTCTCTAGAAATCAATTGAAAAAAATATCCTCTGGTGAGGTTTTTTTTAAAAAG